ATGATAATTTCATTTATTATGGTGATAAAACCAGTGCCTGTTTACTGCTAATGAATCAGGAAATTCTACAACTTCTATGCTAATAAGAAAAATGAACTGGGAAAAACCTTGACTAAAATCTTTTCTCACACTTTTAGTACACGTACTCCAACCCTTAATTTATACCCTGATCCTGCAATTTTCCCTTACCCATAAGGCTATGTGTGAATTAATCACCCCTAAAACAAACACCTTTTACTTCAAATTATGGAAATAAATCTTTAAAATTTCATGCTGATGTGAATTTAAATTAGAGAGTATTTATAGATGAAGCCTTAATGATTTTCTTTATTCACTCATTCAATTTGTTTTTAAGCAAAAATTCCCAGCTTGCTGGCTTCCCTTTTCCCTAGGTACTTAGACTGCAAGGGTACAGCCCTGTGCTTGTGACACTGCTGTTGCCTCTGGGAGGAAAATGTAATACTCCAGACATTATGTTATGATTTTTCTGCCTTATTAATCAAGAGAACAAGAGAGAAAAAGAGCAATTAACTTTTTTTTAGCACAAAGAAAAAGAAAACTAAATTAGGAAGTCAAACAACAAGAGATAAGCAGATTACAACTTTCATGGAAGATATACAGCCCAATCTTCTTATATGACCAAACTCCAGATGGATGAGTTAACTGTTGGAGGGGCTTAGGCAGAGGGAAGCAAATAAGTCTTGCCCTGTGACTGGTATGAGATATTAGTGCTCCTTTCACCCTCTCTCATCCCCTTCACAGCACTGCTGTTCCCCTTTGAACCCCTGTGCTTGCTTGAATGAAGGAGGAAGTGGAGAAGGGAAGTAATAATTCCCTGGGATACAGCAATAACCTTGAACCATGAGCTTTAAAAAGGTGGAACCCACTTGCCCACTGTATTGAAGCTACTCCACAATAAAGGCTTTGTGAGAGATGAACAAAGTTTCATGGACAAATAAATCACACTTGATCACCAAGTCCAGTGTCCTGTCATCAAACTGGTGGTGCAGCTCAGTCCACAGATCATTTGCTCTGTTACTCATGAACAAACCCCAGAATTAGTACTTTCAGCTCCCTCACCACAAACCTCAACATCCCTGTCTGCCATGTATCAGACCCTTATTTACTCTTTGGTATACATCTTAAATCAGGGATCCATACATAATGGTAACAGCTCCCTTTATGCTAACGCAGACTAGAAAGTTTTTCCAGGGATTCAGCAGAAAAACAAATTTTACATTAGCAGTTTTTTCAGATGTTATCTGAAGCATGCTCTGAATCTGTGAAAAAATGTTTGACTTCCATGTGGAAAGAAAAAGTGCTACAACAATGCATTTTCTATTGCAAATTTCTCATACTCAATGAACCAGCAAAATGCCTTTTCTGGCAGTCTGCATACTTAGATGAGATATATTTGGTAACAAGGGCCAACATGTCTTCCACTATAAACTCTAATCAATTTAATTGACTAAGCCCTTATTGGCTAGGCAGAGTATTTGAATGTGGTACAAGGGCAACAAAGTGCTTTAATTGCTTTAACTACAGACTGGGTAGAGAGAAGGAAATGGTGGTTCTAGAGAGCAACACGCTCACCAGTCAGGATCGTATGGAAAGGAAAAAAAAGTCTTTTCCTGTCCCATGCTGTAAAACCACCTATTGCTGGATCTGGCAGGTTCAAAACCCCCAAAGGCAAAACAGCACCCACCCCTGTTAGAGAGAGGTGACCACTTCACCAGCAAGAATGGTCTGGCAACATGCAGCTGAAAGGGAAGAATCTGGAGCAGCATTTGGGGGAAGTGGTTCTAATAAACAATTCTGGTCATGGGTTTGCTTTCCAAACTTCAGAAAAAAATGAATGTCTGGCTGATCCAGTCAGTTTAGTTGTATTATCTTGGCACCAGTTTGTTGTTAGCTTGCCAGCAATAAGTGAATAGTCCATTTCACATGTACTGCCAGCAATCAAAAAAATCAACTGATAGATACATCCTCTTTTAGTTCTGGTGCTGTTACTGCATTAGCTCTCAGCAATCTGTTGATTCTGTTAATAGAAGCTGGTATCATTTCATAGTAATACTGTTTTGGCTTCTTGCTAAACTTAAAAAAATAAAAAAGGAAGGATTTAAAAGTCTGACATCAATTATTCAATAAAATCATGGCTGATAGCTGACCTGAACAAGATAGATTTTTTAATTAGTGAATCAGGTTTCTGAGATCACATCTTTCATTTAATACACAGTTCAGAAGAATAAAATCCTATTGAAAGTTCCACTTAGGTTATGCTGGTGAAAAAGCTGAGGAAAACGTTGATGACATTTCTAGTCAGATTTCACTGGGCTTTATCAAACATGCTCTTCATAAATAGTTGACTAATTTAAAACCAGAAAGTGTACTACTCCCTATAAACTGAGCATGCTTTTTCCTGCGTACCATTCCTAATCTCCCTGGCAGTACAAATCAAGATACTGGCATAAGAAACAATGCAAAAGCAGAAGAGGAGAAGGATGGCTCTGAATTCCTTCTCCTACCTTGTGTCTCTATTTTATGTTTTGAGAGATCTGTATACACTGATCCCTCTGTGTCTATGCAGATTCTTATTGTTGTTTCCATCAATATTAAAAGCACAGACACAATTCAGCTGATGCATATTCCCAGATTCATAAACAGAACTGAGAGTGTTTTGATCAAACTACTGTTCTTGAAGCTTCCCTCTAAAGACCAGAAACTTAGTTGTCCAGATTAACAATTCTCTTTGAGTATGAAAGGGTGTCATGGCAAGCTAGGTGGTATTCTTTTACAGAAATTCAAAGTGTAGTTTATAAACTAAAATTGTGTATCTATAGAGTTATTTAAATTGGATCTTTTGTTCCATAGAAAAATTATGCTGAAGAACAAATCTCCCAAGGACCACACACTTTCCAAAGTACCAGCATCCTCCAAATCCCCCATCTGCTAAACTGAACAGACTTCAGCTTAGTATTCATTTTAATTTCTGCACAATGCCTGTCATTGAGACACTTGAAGTTACACAAAATTCTGTGATTAGTAGGTATGAAGGAAATAATTTTTTATTCTCTCTTAAAGAAAGCTTTCTTATATTTAGGTTTGGAGCTGTTGCTTGAGTATAATTTTAGGCTTTTACTTTCTTCCAATTTTAATTCTGTATCAATGGAGAGCAGTCAATTTCTTTTTTTGTTATTACAAATTCAGTGTCAGCTGATATTGCACTGATAGAAGAGTAAACAAAAGTTGGCATAAAATTTCAATACAGAAGTTCATTTAAGAATCAGTCCTGAAATTTTGCTGCTATTTGTATTTATAAATATTTATAAACTGGATCAGATCAGTCCAAATCTACTCATACTTATAAGAGGGTAAAAAGCATATTAAACCAGCAATTTCAATACTACTCACTTCTATTTTTACATTAAACTTACTGTTATTTTTATTTCTTATTTCTTCTCTTAGTATGATAGTGATAGAAACTGAGAAGAGTTTGTGAAACCCCTATAGTGAGTTATTTTTTGCTCAGTGCAAATTGAAACAGCTGTAGCACTCTATAACACCAAAAGGAAAATGTGGATGACTCCTCTCTGCTTTTCCTTACAGACTTAATATATTCACTAGCTTAATTGAGATATTTTATTTAAACATTCAGATCCAACATATTGAAAGATTTGGATGGACAGCTCACTGTTCTCAGCCAGTGGAATGAGAGCAGCCATGAGGGGAAGGTCTTGGGGGGTGCTGGTGGAGGAGAAGCTCAACACACCCCATCCTTGTGCACTCACAGCCCAGAAAGCCAACACTGTCCTGGGCTGCATTCAAAGCAGTGTGGGCAGCAGGAGGGAGGGGATGCTGCCCCTCTATGCTGCTCTTGTGAGACCCCACCTACAGGTGCTGCATCCAGCTCTGGGGTCCCCAACATAAGAAGGATGTGGACCTGTTGGAGAGAGTCCAGAGGAGGCCACAAAGATAATTCAAGGGCTGCTGCTACATGTTCCTAGAGCTCTTCTGAAGACTCAAATTTCATCCCTATGACATCAGGTGGCTGAAATGTCACTCACATCTCAGCTCTGTCTCTCCCACCCTCAGGGGAAAAGCTCTATAAGACTAAAAATTGCTTTGGGAAGTACTTCTATAATTGCATGGCACACCAGAGTCTACTGCAGACTCTGTACTTTGAATGCTATCCCACATTTTCTACCAGGAGTTGTGAATGTCAAGTGGTGCAGGTGGAGCTAATAAAAGGTTGCAATACTGTCAGAAGTGCCATTATTTTTGTTGATTTGTCTGTTGTACAGCTACTCTAATCCAGGTTTCTGAAGGGATGAGGGGAAATCAATCAGCTTCCTGCTGCTCTGGAGCCAACAGTTTTGATGCCCTATTTTCTCTGCTAGTGTTACTGTAATATCCTCTGGGATTCTGGCTCTGTTTTGAATCATGAATCAGTGTAGGAATACAAAAGTTTTTGCCACTGTTTATTTGTTTAAATACAATGTTGTCAAATCAAAATTTAAACTTCAACTCAACTCATTCCCCAAAGAATTCATGTGAGACACCACAACATATCCTATGTTAGGTGTATTATATTCTCTGCCAGCCTCAGAATCCACCATCCCAAGTCCCATTGCTCCATGCCTAAATTACTCTCCCTGGGAAGTAGTCATGAGAGGGCGATAAAGAGAAAACATGGGCTGTCATCTTAATTCATAGTAAATTTCAAGTCTCTCTCATTTCTTGAAAAAATCAATAGAATAAAAACACCTATGATGTCAAAATGACAGACGTGGGCACCTTTGCTGGGGCGGGTGGGTCTGCCCTGCCCACGTCTGCTCCCACCTTCAGGGCAGCACGGACCGAGCTTATGTGTGCACTGCCCCAGTGAAGCTCTCTGGGGAACAGGGTCTGTCCAAGGGTACCCCTTTACATTTTCATAACTTGCCCTGATAACTTGCAGTTACCCTTCCAATTTTCCAGCATTTGCCAGACTCAGTTCTCACCTGACAGAATTCTTCGCAATCCCGTAAGGGCACATGGATTTGCATGCCTGGGGAACCACGGGGTGCCAGCTGCTCCTGGTTTGCATTCCTACCTGATTAGAAAAAAAAAAACAACAAACCACATTACTTCAAGATTAATGCTACTGCTAAATCCAAGAACAGAGCCCAGTTTAGGACTGAATTTTAGATGTCTCTAAAGAGCAGAACTCTGTCCAGCACCAGCAGCATGCCTGTCTACACCCTCAGAGCTCATTATAAAAGTGCAGCACAACGTGAATGATTTCATCACTTCTTTTTGCAAAGCAGAAAATAGCTGAAGGTATCAGCTATTCTGGCTGTTCTGCGCAGATTCAAACTGCTCCTCCTAAACTACCCAGGAAGGCAGCAAAAACCTGAACAATTACGTTTTATTGTGTTATCACTTTTACTGCCTAGATGTTCAACATAACCAGCCAACAGGTTTTGAATGTATCACTAAAAATAAGAGCCCTTGCTTACCTAGATACTATTTTGGCTTTCACTGACAATACAGTGTCCTCATTCCTTTAATATCTTATTCAAAATAATTCCCATAAAGTTAAACTTTCCCTGGGAGAACACAGGCAATAACTAAATCGGAATCAACACTTCAGATGAATCAGCATCTGTCACATCTTATCAGAACAAAAAAAAGAAAAAAAAAAAAGAAAGACCAGGCAAGGCTAAATAACTAAATAAAACAGTAAACCAGACAATAAAATTCTGAGGAGATACCATCTGGAATATCAACTTCTATCCTTATATTCAAGTGCCTGATGCTCAAGTAATTTCATGAATGGTTATAATCAAAACCTTTCAGAAAAGCAAAAAACTAACACCTAAACAACAGGATTGGACTACTGCTTCCAGTGACTGCTACCAAAACTAAAAATGGACAAACAATTAAGAAAATTGAAAAAAAAAAAAAAGAGAAGTGGTCTGTGCTTTTAGGTTACACACCTGTGAAAGTGCTATACATAGAAATATTTTCTGCCATGCTATGAAATTCCATCAGTTCTTACTCATTTCCATTCAAAATGCTTGAACATTGGTGCATGTTTAAAGACAAATATGTATCATCTAAGCAATGAAAACATAATCCAGGCTGCTTGAACAAATTACTTGTTTTAATACAACATCAATTATATTTTCCTATTTGGTGTGAAGGTATCTCTGTACTGCCAGCTATTTACACATATAAAATTTTGGAAAGTGACTTTATAACTATAAAAACAGTTATGCTGAAGAGCTACACACTGTGATGTAGTAGAAACAGATTTTTTTAATGTAGGTTTTAACTGCACAATAAAAGCATTGGAACCATCCTTCATATTTTGCACTTACTGTATAAACAGAATATTAAACTCAAGAAAGACATAATCTAAGACCCTGACTTTCTCATAAAGTTTCATAAGCAGTAAAAAAAAGGTTTTCCATCTAAGAGTGTGAATTGCACAACAGTGCAAGCTTAAACAAACTTAACACAGCTTAAAAGTTGTGCCAGAAGTTCTGTACCCAAAGTGCATCTTTGCCAGATGGAGACACAAGTTTTGCACTGAGCTAATTACACCTTCAACTGTTCTGTCTTCCCCACAAAGGGGATTTCCATCCCAGGCACATCTCACAGGAGCCCCAAGAGGGCCCCTTGATCCCAGTGATTTGTCACCTCTACTGGGTTGGAGTAAGTATGAGCCAACAGGCTGGAGATTACAGCTCCATTATCCCAACAGTCAGCTCAGAAGCTGCAAAGTCCATAATTTAGTCTTCAATAGTATCACCCAAGGGCTTTTCCATCCTGCTGATTTATTCTAGTGCTTTTCTTCAAGACCTCACACTATTGGCCAATGGACTCCAGCTATTTATTTTCATCTTTATCATTGTAGCTGACAGAAGCATTTTGTTTTTTAAATCTGAAATATCTATAAATCTTGAGAGAAGTGATTTAGAGCCATCTGTGTAGGGACAAAACTAATGATAAAAATCACCTGAATAGAAACAGAAATGAATTGCTATAATAATAGGTGATCTATAACTACAACACATCAATAAGATTAAATAAACAGGCTGTTATCTTAATGAATTTGTCCATATCAGCAATTCCAGAGTTTATCATATCTTTCTTGCAAACCACACTCATCAGTTTACACACATGAAGCAGCTATTGATCTCTCTGGGAAAATGTGCTTAGATAGCACTTTCAGATATACAAAAAAAAAAAAAAAAGAGGGATATAGCAGAGCTGCGAAAAGAGGCAACTGCTGCATTGCATTCCCTGCACAAGCACACTGGGTGTTTGAGTATTGCACTGCTATCAGAGTGAAGAAGCAAGTTGAAATGGTCTTGAGGCACAGAAAGAAAAATATTTCACCTAAAATTTGCATCATGTTCTTTCATATTAGTTTGGAATGCAGGGGTTATAATGCACGAGGAGGGTGATGTTTAATTCCATTACAGTGCCAGGAAGCACAGATAGATTTTTTCAAAAAGGATCTTGCTACCAGATTTTTCTTATATGAGTTAAAAATCACTAAATTATTCCCTGAAAAAAAATAGAGTTGTTACAGTTGAAAACCAGAGGCTTTTCACTGTTTGAACAAACTGGAATCGAGAAGTCTCATGACAATTTCAGTATCTGTCTTTTTCTACAAATCTTGGTGGGGTCAAAAAACACAAAGGAGTTTATAAAAGTTTTCTGTGTTGCTCTAAACATTGAAACACTTTTTTTTCCAGTTTAATTTGTGGTGAAGTCCAAAACTTACTAGCTACTGAATAAAAAGGTAGGAAATGTGAGCTATATTCTAAACCCAAAAGCACATGCTAAAGCATAGAGATAGCTGGGTAAAGTCAATCCCCAGCCATGACTCAATTCAGAATCACACAGAAATCAGCTAAACACATAACTATTTAACCATTGTTAATTTCATCAAAAATTCTATCATCTGGAGCTACAATTGAGCTCCATTTCCCCAACTTCTGGTAGGAAAAAACACAACTGTTCACATAAAAGAAGTTTCCTTCTCTTTGAGTTTCACTGTACACAGAACCAAGAGAGAATCTACATTAGCTGGTATCTTTATATCTTACTGTGAAAACAAACCCCAATAAAGACCAAGATCCAGGAAGGAGAAAGTCCTTGATGAGACTATGCAGCACCTAACATGGTACTAAGAGGCCTCGGCACTATGGTACTATGAGCTCTTGGTGCAAGGCAGGATTTTGATCAAAGAGGACTAAGCACCAATCCTGACCAATTTAGGAGCAAGCCCCAAGAACATGCTTCACTCTTCTGGACACTGAGATATGCTTGGGAAAGCAGAGACTACATCTTCTCAGGTAGGATCAGGTATGGAGATCCACTGGAGAACACGGGAAACAGCAGGGGTGTTTCTTCATAAAGATGGTTGTAAACTGAATGAAAGTTCTATAGCTGCAAACCATCAGCATTATCCTTATTTTTAATGCATCAAACATAAGAATATCGCACCTTTCTAAAATTAAATTAGCTCATTAATAAAAAAAATTAAACAAACAACAACCAAATAACTATTGAGAAAGTTACTGAGTGGCCCTGCCAACAGCCTTTGTCCTTTCCAGGGTTAGTGGAGTTAGCTGTCCTAAGCTGTGGGATATCACCTCTGCCTCTAGATTATGGGGGCTTAACTCACAGCTTGTGAAGGCATGAAAACAGGCTTCATCTGTACAGTTCCACATGCAGATATGCTCTACCCCAAGTTTTAATTGCTAGTGAGAAGAGACAGAGGAACAAAATGTAGCTGAAATTTTTGCCATGTACTTCTCTGCTTCTCCTTAGCATAAAGGAGCAACAAGGATGATTTAACTTTGTTACTGAGCTTCCAGACCTTCTGGAGCGTGCTGGGGTCCTGAAACCCTTCACTCTCACCACATCATTACCTTTGTTAACACTTTAATTAATTATTATTTCACACTGCATACATTAAGCCCCAAAATACACAAGGCTAAACTGAAGAGCGGAACTCTGTCCAGCACCAGTAGCAAGTCTGAGGTCTACACCTCAGATATCTACACCTGCAGAAAGCCACCTACACCCCTCCAACAGCTGAGTCTCTAATCCTCATGGGAAATTTGATCTCACCATTATGATTGTTATGCATTAAAAGCTACACTATGGAATTTTCAGGGTTTGAAACATGTAATGTGTAGCTCCTGAAACGATGAGTCAATGAACACAACCCTAATATCTACCTATTGAGGCAGCATAACATAAACACATATATATATTCACACAAAAATATACTAAAAAATTCAAATATTCATGTGTACTGATCTCCTTAGGTGTTTTCTACACTCTTTAAATCAAATTAAGTTAAAAATCCCCAACATTCAAGGGTATCTTTTCCTCTAAAACATTGCACAAAATGCAGGTTCTGCACATCTTATCGCTGGAAGCCTGGAATGTTAGCAAAACTCAGAAGCAGCTCCCTGTTTAGCTCTACCCATGGGAGTTAGGGGGGAGAGCTGCATGCATACATGTATTTCATTGCATATCTATATCCAGAGACACGTATATAATTGTTTTATTAATTATTCTCAGCCAATAAGAGAAAAGATCCTTAAATTGAATTTCTTTCTGCAGTCATTATTGCTTATTAATGTACAATTATCTTACCACTGCCCATTGTTTTCTCAAGTCAAATTTTCATTAGAACAAAAAGGCACGTGTGAAAGAGTTCTTGAAGCACAGTCAGACCCCTTGCATGGGTTTGTGCTAATTACCAGAGCTTCTTTTGTTATCAGCCTGGACGTTAATGACAAAAGAAGACAAGTGTAGAGTCTATTTTGCTGGAGCTAATTACTAACCATTCCCCATTCAATTTATGCTCGGAGGAGTACAATAATCATGACACAGTGCATTAGCTCTGTCCCTGGCAGTATCTGCCAAGCTGAGTGTTAATTGTCAGGACAGATTCTGGTCAGGAATAACTGTGTCTCAGGCATGTCTGCTCACGAGCAATGATCTGCAGCAATTTCTTCTGTGCAGAAAAAAAAAGTCAGGGCCTTTTAACTTTCTACGTAAGGTAATACTGGAAATTTT